CAATTCTAGCTTCACGAGTTGCCAGAGAGAACCTCCAAACACGTTCTGCCCTCATCCGATTGTCACATCTGTGGCCACTCTCCGAAAGATATGGACATGCAAACAGGCCAGCGAAAGCGTGTTCAAACATGATGGTGCTCAGGATGAGTGATCCACAATTGGATTGCGTTTTCTTTCTTTTATTCCAGCGAGACCAATCAGACATAATCAGACTGATCATCCGAAAGATCTGTGACATCTGCTTCAATTTTGCAGGGAAGAAGTGGAAGAATTCCGGAACTACCCCTAGAATATCCGGGAAGGCTAGCTTAAATACAAGATCCATATCAAATTGAGGATTCGTTTGATCAACTGTTCTTGCCCTGAACATCTTTCCTGAAACGGCAGGTGTGCTAGAGGACATGGTTCTGATATCCTGTGTAGTGCACGTGCTAATCATGTCCATAGCGAAGGGAGCTTGGCGCCTGTCCGACAGATTTTTTTGCTCACCGACAGATTCAGATTTCAAACGGGAGACCTGACAGTCAGAGATGCCCATGCAAACCGGTCAAGTATAGTTCACTCATGCTGGCAGTGACCAGTTTCTCATGAATTTTTTGATGAACCTTCTAGCATGTCACAACCTATATATTTATATAGAATGGGGAAGGGATAACCCTGCTAGTCATCTTTGGCATCCCATGTTCATAGATTGAACACCTCGTTCTACCCTTGAGGAACACGTCTTTCTACGGTGACGTAGAACCTGTTTGTATCGGGGAGATCGCTTGGCCGGGAGAAGTGAATGATTCTTATACAACCAGTTGTGTCTTTTTGGGGGGGTCACTGCCAAAAGAATATTCCATGAAGTCACATCATGTCTGTGGGAACAGCAAGGGATACGTAGATTGAAACTCTGGTGCGCCAAATCAAGACCCCCAAAAACACAGCATGTGGTTGGTTGTCCCTTCAAATGAGTTCACTGCGTTCACTTTCAAACCCACATCCAAGTCGTATGATCTTTCCTGACTCCAAATCCGGGTTGCAAACCTCAGCTGATGATGCATCCGCCGAGCCGCAGGCCTAGGCAAAGTTACAATTTCAAGATGTGGCAGGAATATGACCGATGTAGCAGTGGCAGTAGCCGTGGCAATCGCCGGCGTAGTGGTAGCACTGCTCATAGCAGTACAGCTAGCAGTATTAGTACTAGTATCAGTCTGAATATTAGTATTAGCAGTAGTCGTCGTGGTGGTGGTGGTGGCAGGAGTAAGAGCAAGAGCAGGATAAAGAGAAGTAGTGGAAGTAGAAGTAGTAGTCGTCGTCGTCCTAGTCGTAGCAGTAGCAGTAGCAGCAGGAGGAGGAGGACTAGTAGTAGTAGTAGTAGTAGTGGTAGTGGTAGTGGTAGTGGTAGTAGAAGTAGTAGTAGTAGTAGGAGTGGTAGTAGTAGATGTGCAGGACTAGTAGAGTAGGACTTAGGAGTGAGTAGAAGTAGAAGATGACACATACTATATTGTGTGCTACAAACATGCAAAGGCCCATTCGCCAATATATCCTGTACCTGCACACTTTTGGAAGAACAAACTGTGAATCCATACCCCAAACATCCCTAGCCGTTTTTGGGTTGCAAAGGCCTGTGACTTTTTTTGACACCTGTGACTTCATGGAAGACATTAAAGTAGTGGGCCTGTTGTTCTCGGCCCTCTATAAGGTCTGTTTCCAGGTTCCAGGTCATTTATGCAGTAAATGTGCTAGTGCATCCGTGATTCGGCAACTGATTTAGCTCTTGCGAGCCTCAATCTAAGTGTGCGTGTGTGTGTGTGTGTGTGTGTGGAACGTGTGTGTGTGTGATGCGCCCCGTGGGCGTGCATGTGGTTCAGTCACTTAGCGCAAGTATAAACTTGAAAATGGCAGCGGGTAAGCAATGCCAACAAACGAACCAATCACAAGACTTCTTATTTCTTCGCAAGATAACTTTAAAAAAAGGAAAGAGGAAAACGTTGCAAAGCAAAACAATAAGAACAGCGCCATCCATAACCGACATCCGGCAAAGGTACTCCGACTTCTTGTGCCACAATTTTACCGAAACAACGAAAACCTGCGGTTGAACTGTTTTCTCTCGGATCCCGATCTACCAAAAGCGCTTGCAAAGTATTCTTTTCCGTTGGTTTCTGAAGCAAGGGCGTGTGCCAAGGACGTGTTGCGTGACATTTTTCTGGTCTCGACGTCTCCGGCTCCTACCCTGAAGAAAACAAGCCGCAACAGAGCCTTGTTTATTCAAAAGCCGCCTGGACCAAGACACAGGTTGGTCTCAGGCGGCAATCTCTTTTTCTTTGGTTCTGGGACGCTACAAAATCGCCACATCCACAATCACAACCACACGGCTAGACTCTCTCTCTCTCGCATACACTTCTCAAGACACAGCTTGGCCTCAGTCGCCGAATTGTGTCTCTTCGACCGTCGGGGTGCCTATATAACTGCTAGCTTGTGTGTTCTCATCTTCTCGTTGATACTTACTGCACCTTGAAACCCTGTTCTGATGTTTCTTGTGTTTCATTGTGCGGGCGTGTGCCGCCCAAGGATTTCCAATTTTGGCTTCGGCTCCCCGTCTCCTATTTTCAACGTTTCCGGAGCACACTTTCCAAAAAAAGTCCGCCACAAAAACGGGCAGAGTCTTGTTTATTCAAACACCGCCTGAACCAAGACACAGGTTGGTCTCAGGTGATTCCAATTCGTGATAAGTAACCCCAGCAAGTCGGGGTCACGGAGGTCATCTCCGGGATGTGCTTCTGGGTGCCGAACATCCCGGTTGCCCGGAATGGGGCCCGGTCGGTGGATGCTCTTCTGCCTCATGACGCGGTGAGCACTGAGCGTCTCAGTGAGGCACTGGCGTCAACATGTTGAAACTGTCGCGTTCGAAGGGTCAAATCGGTGGAGTATGGTGGAGTGGAAAAAGGACACGCACTCAGTATAACTGAATTTGACAGTTGAAACTCGAGCGAATCTACTAGGACACCAAGTTGCATAAGGTTGTCAACATCAATATGCAAGTTGATTCTGTGTTGGACTGGTTCTTGTGCATATTGTCCTTTAGAGACTGGTTGGAGTATCATGAATACACACCAAGTGCAATGTATCCTATACATCAACGGAATCTTTGTTCTTCTCACGACAAACATCGGCTGGTCCAACGCCCTATACTACGACCGCTTTGAAAGCACCCTAGCTCGCCGAAGGTGCCCAACTGCACAAAGAAAACAACACGCACGTCTTCACATCTTGCTTTTCAAACGGTTTTTCTTCAGCTAATTCCAGTAACTTCATTTCATCCATGCCATCCATCCAAAGTCTCGCAAGCCGCGAGCCCTTCTGCCCATCCGTACCCGCCTCCCTGGCGGCTTCGGCCACGAGCAACTCGCCACTGGCCTCGCGCGGCAGCGCTTTTGATGGTGAAATCACAAAACATACAGTAACCCTTTATCTCAACATCCAGGACGAAGTACCTCACCATCCAAGGGACTACAGAATCGTATACGTCGGACACGTTTGGAGTTTTTCACGAAGCGACGATGGATTCGGTCCAGGACTCGACGGAAGAAACGACAACTTGTGGGTCCTGGGTTTGATCAGATAGACGTTCCCGATACAAGTAGAAATCAACTGGGAACTCGAGGCCAAGCCTTGCGAGGGTACTAATAGGGGTTTTTTCTTCCGCAAACTGGACGCAATGTCCTGCATTTTCCAGGGTGTAGCTGACTCAGGGGCCTCAGCATGGAACTTCTTCCCCTCAACAATCCATCGTAGACCGATACCCTCCAGCTGGGTGCTTCTTTTTACATGATCGGTGTCCGTGAAGGGTGTTGAACGAAGTCGGTCTCTGGCGATGCCGATGTGGACCCGCTGCGGGACCAGCTGCTGGACCTTCCAACAAACAGGTCATGAGAACACAAGGGCGCCGCTCAGTGTCTCACTGTACGGAACGAAGCCAGATTTGGACCCCATGACATTCCATTTCCCGTAACTTGATCTGGTTGACTCGGTTGACCCAGTCTTCCAAGTTCAAGGTGAATGATTGGCTGGTCATCAACAAACCCACAAAAGTCTCTTCCCCAAATCTCCGACGTTGAGACCGCCCTTTGGCAGTTGAAGCAAAGTCAGCCCTTCCAAAAGAGAACCAAAAGCCCTGCCACTTTTAAGAGTCCAAAAAGCCACCATTCTGGAGTACCTGCTGCCCGTCGAATGCTTTTTGGGTGGTGCTTAATTCATCCCTCCGTGCCGCCCGTTTTCATCGGAAGCAGATCTCATCGTCGTCGGTCGGCGCCGGGGGTCTCGGTGGCCCGTCGCTTTCGGGAGTTGGTCGGCGCCCGGAAATCATGGCAAAGCATGGCAAAGCAAATGGTTGGATGAGGTGTGCTGGGATTCATATCTTATCACCTGGTGTGATGACAGTCTGCTTTTCAATGGTTTTTCAGGTTGGATGACAGTCCCAAGAGTTGAAGATGTTGGGATTTTGTTGGTGGGAGAACCAAACCTCACCAGGATATGCTCGAAAGGATGGCACGTGACTTCGGGGGTTAACCAGCCAATCGATAAAAAGGAATCATGTCTACCGAAGAGTGGCCTCGTTCAGTGGATTAGTTTTTACATGCTGCGCTACACATCACGCGCCCAGGGAACCTGGCCTCGGCTTGCTGCAGCATTGCAGGGCACTGAGCCCATATTTCGTTGAAGAGTACTTTCTGAATCTGTCCGAACCCTGGAGACTAGTTGAACAAGCCACAATCGCCTCAAATTCCGTGACCCCAGAATCCACTGGTCAACCTGATTCGGGTGAGCCTCCACTCTGTATGCAACATCTGAGTCGCCATGCGAGCTACTTCCACCCCCAGGCCCGTTCGTGCGAGCACTCCGAGCTACTTCCATGTGGCGCCTTCGGAGCGGGTCGGCCTTCCGGTGCCATCGACTGCGATTGTGACGGTGATGGTTAAAAGGAAACCCCTTTGGAAGACTGACAGACTGCAGTATCCCATTGGTTCTTTCAATATTTCCAGGCGCAACCAGTGCGAGCAGCACTCTACGGCCCAGCGCCGCCGTGGTCGCGCGCGACTCAGAACGCGCGTGGCTCGCTCCGCTCACAGCGCCGTGGTCGCTTGGTGGATCTGCCAAGCACCATGCGCCTCAGGTGGATCCAAGATCTTCCATGAGTATTTCAGGAACAATATCTAGTCCTAGTCTACTCTTGAAACGAAAAAAACACATGAAGAGGTGTTTACAATCCATGAGCCTGATTCATCAAGAGTCTACATAACGCCCCCGAAAAAATGGATTGACAGGCTTGGCGGGTATAGCTCGAAGTCAAATCAAGACTTTTGACATGAGAAAACTGTGGATGGAGTGTTGCAAAGATTTGTCGGAAAAAGGACACCATGAAAAATGAACACACGTCTGATAACATCACTATAGAAGAAAACCCTCATAGAACTCCTCATAGAGTGAATGACTGGGTGCCAGCATGTTCAAAGGGTTTCTTGTTGGAGTTGCAGGGGTGCCCGTTGAAGTAAAAACAACTAAATCACTCCTTTGGAACAACCCATAGGGGTTGGTTGTTCCGCGTTTCCTCGGAAAACATGACGCTCCACATGAAGCCTTGCAGCGAGCCTTGCAGCCATAGACGATGCTCCACATCTCAGGCGCCTAAAACGCAAGAAGAACGCCGGTTTGTCCCCCGGTCCAACTCTACAGGGGGCAAGGTGGAGGACACCTTCACCCCCCCTAATATGCATACTTGGAGGACTGGGTGATGGTTTCTCTCTTAATTGCATGACCTCCCTAAATGATGAAGACGAAAAACCAAAAAGGGTGGTTCATTGTGCCTACTATTTCAATACACATGTGCGGGTTGCGAAAAATAGTGAACCAAACCCGCGTTCGTAAAGGTGCACATTCGTGCAGTAGGATAACAATCTGCCAGAGGAGTCCATCCCTTCACTCTCTCTTCACCGAAAACAGGCCAGGAGATCCTAAGACCTTAGAATGGCCTGGAGGTGATTTGGAGTGAAAACGAGTGCCGTCAGCGGGGTGAGAAGCAATCCCACCGATTCCGGCTCAGCGGTGGATTTCGATAGAAACCGTGGCAAAACATCTGCAAGTGGTCTGACTCGAGACACAAAAAAACCACTGGGAAAACGAAGCGTAGCAATGCGTAGCATGTGTCCACCTGCTCGTTTTGGGTCCAGAAACCCAAAAGGTCTTAGGATTTGAGAGGTTCTGACATGAGTAGGCTTCTCAATGTCCTGGCCGATGATTTGACTATGCTTGACCCTCGCAGCACAAGTAAAGATCAAGTAACTAAATCTGAAAAAACTGGACGCCTTCCCTTAAAAGGAATTCGATTAGACCAAATTATTGCCATAGTCTCATAGTTCCTGTTGAAGCCCTCCCAAGACCTTTCTGGAAATTGTTGCCTCCTGATCCATTTCTCGGCAGCTTGGCAGCTTGTTACATGACATGAACAGTAACAGCACGTCCTGACATCCAAATTAAATCATCTAAAGACTCAGCTTCTGTCTCTGCCAAGCGGAAGCAACTCAAGAACCCCAGTACCACGCGCCAGAAAGAAACACGTCGCGAAAAAAAAATGGAGCCCACGAACCCGAATGCAAACACGTTCAAAAAGCTACATATGTCCAAATGACACTCTTGTAGGACACTCTTGTGGGACACTCTTGTGGGTCACTCTTGTAGGAAACTCTTGTGGGACACTCTTACGGGACACTCTTGTGGGACACTCTTGTGGGACACTCTGTGGAAACTCTTGTGGGACACTCTTGTAGGACACTCTTGTGGGATACTCCTGTAGGACACTCTTGTGGGACACTCTTGTGGGGCACTCTTGTGGGACACTGTTGTAGGCAGCTCTTGTGGGACACTCTTGTAGGACACTCTTGTGGGACACTGTTGCGGGACACTCTTGTGGGACACTCTTAAGGGACACTCTTGTGAGACACTCTTGCGGGACACTGTTGCGGGACACTCTTGTGGGACACTCCTGTGGGACACTCATTTGGGACACTCTTGTGGGACACTCTTGTGGGACACTCTTGCAGGACACTCTTGTGGGACACTCTTGTGGGACACTCTTGTGGGACACTCTTGTGGGACACTCTTGTGGGACACTCTTATAGGACACTCTTGTGGGACACTCATAACTCTTGTGAGACACTCTTGTGGGACATGGTTGCGGGACACTCTTGTGGGACACTCTTGTGAGACACTCTTACGGGACACTCTTGTAGGACACTCTTGTGGGACACTCTTGTAGGACACTCTTGTGGGACACTCTTACGGGACACTCTTGTTGCACACTCTTGTAGGACACTCTTGTGGGACACTCATACGGGACACTCTTGTGGAACACTCTTGTAGGACACTCTTGTGGGACATGCGGGACGCTCTTGTGGGACACTCTTGTGGGACACTCATACGGGACACTCTTGTGGGACACTCTTGTGGGACACTCTTGTAGGAGACTCTTGTGGGACACTCTTGTAGGACACTCTTGTGGGACACTCTTGTAGGAAACTCTTGTGGGATACTCTTGTAGGACACTCTTGTGGGACACTCTTGTAGGACACTCTTGTCAGACACTCCTGTAGGGCACACTCTTCGTACGAGACTTCCTCCAAAAGTCACGCTGCGAGGCTGCAAGACGAGCGTTTCGTACGAGACTTCCTCCAAAAGTCACGCGTCAAGTCTCAAAAACGAGCGTTTCGTACGAGACTTCCTCCAAAAGTCACACGTCAAGTCTCCAAAACAAGCGTTTCGTACGAGACTTCCTCCAAAAGTCACATGTCAAGTCCCCAAAACGAGCGTTTCGTACGAGACTTCCTCAAAAACTCACATGTCAAAGTCTGCAAAACGAACGTTTCGCACGAGACTTCCTCCAAAAGTCCAGCGGAAACACCCATCGGAGCACACACATCACGCAGCCCTGCCAAGCAGTTTCGCGATTCCAGCCCCTCCAAACAACACCCGCTCACACGCCAATCCCAATGTGACAGCGACATTCACCTCTACCACAACTCACAACCTCCCGATTCCCTGCGCCTGCCACGAATCTTTCCGCGTCCACACGTCTAACGCGCACAAAGTACTGCGCCTGCCACGAAATGTCACCTCCGTCACACATCGCAACCTCACGATTCCCTGCGCCTGCCACGCAAATCATACTTCCACACCTCAAAACCCGCACAAAGTCCTGCGCCTGCCACGAAAAGTAACAATGTCATCTCATGTGAGCTTCAACAAAATTTGCACCACACCACACGTTTGGAATGATTTCGACCCATTCTGAGCACACTCCCATCCACCAAAATCGGCATTTCGGCTGAGACTTGTCACGAAAACAGAGCTTCGATGCCACACCCTGAAACGCAAATCCCAATGGCACGGCCACATCCAACACCCCAAAAACACGACTCTCCAAACGCTAATCCCAATGGAACTGCGCAGCAATCTGCAGATCTCACAAAACGCTGCGCCTGTGCAGCGAAATGCATCACGCTTCTTGCGCGACATGTCATTTTCACGCAAATCACAATGGACTAGCGTCGCAAACTGACACGTGACACATCCATGAATAGTCACTTGCAAAAGCTTCCCCCAATGGCAGCGCCTTAGCGACCTACTGCGGACGGTTGCGAACGGTTGCGAACGGTTGCGAACGGTTGCGGACGGTTGCGAACATAGAAGCAACGGGTCGCGAACAAGACTCTACCCCCAGACCCCCAAGAGTTAAACGAGAACCCTTCGCTACGCATTCGGGTAAAAACGTGGCACAGTGATGCGGTGCACGTGTAATGAATCGGCGCCTTGGGCAGATTCGGCAAGAGCAATCCATCTTGCAGCACGCCGGCTGCATGTACAATGGTCTCAATGCCTGGTTCTTCGCACGTTTTGGGACATGGTTCTTTGGCGAAGGGCAGCCAGTGGTCCAAGTTGTTCCAGAAAGCAACATACAGACTATATGTGGGCGAAGGGCAGCCAGTGGTGAACTGGAGCCAGTGGATAGCCAGCCAGTGAGGTGAATGACGTGGTTCCTTTCGTAAGCCTTTGATTGGAGGGTTTTGATTTTCTTTTGAGCTCATCATATTCACTTCAGGGTCTTGCGTGGTTGGAAGGAACTCTTTTGCCGCTGAGTCAAGCAAACATGGAAACACCTGACCACACCTGATCAGTGACCATGCATCTGTAGCCTTCCAAAGTGATCTTTTTACGAGTCAAACAGTCAGACCTCCTTCTTTTGAAGAATGTCACAAAAAGAGGTGGCACTATGATGAATGCAAAATGATTCTCTTTTTTGCACTTGTTGCATGGTTTCAAACACAGGAACTTCACCAGGCATGTTCCAGCCCGATCCGTAAATCTGCAACGGGATCTCTGAAGAAGTTGACCTGAAGAAGTCTTCGTAACATCACCGACACACAACTTATGCCCCCCCCCACCCCCCCCCTCATCCTCTCGGGCCGCCCTGCCCATACGCCGCTGCGGCAGCGCCAACTTCGTTTCGGTCTGGGCGCCCGAGCAGCAGGGTCCGAGACGACGGGCTCTCCCCCATTTCGCGAACGTTCGAGTCGAAGAGTTAGGTTGGAACATCGAACGCTTCTGTGGCTGTACCCCCAAGCTTGTTTCTTGGATGCGAAGGGTTGATCCTTCATCATTCAACAATAAAGATTAGATGGATTGGATGGATGATTTATATTTAGTATACTTTAGTAGATGCTAGATACTATAGCAGGAGTCCCAACGGGATGCGTATGGAGCGGCCTTGGGTCCCCTCACTTAGACTGTCAAACACCCGCGTTGGACCAATTCTTTTTTGGAATAAAGGGATCACTTTGCTACCATATACCTATTGGTTGTACACGACCGGAGATATCCCCTCTATGAATCAGTAAAAGAGTCATGTTCAAGAGGTAAATGATATATGGTATAATTATCAATGTAATGTAGACTCTTAATGAAGAACCCCCCCCATACTTAGGAGGATTGTCCATTTCAATTGGGTGCGTTTTTAATCAAGAGTCTACATTAACTATTCTGGATTGTCTGGAATCAAGCAAACCATCACATCAAACAGCATCACAGGGCCCAGAGCCCTTTGGTCGCTCTCGCACCCCAGCAGCACCGACTTTCTCCCGGCGGAGCGTCAAAGCACGGAACCCCTGGGTGACCGGACCGTGACGTTTTTGATCTTCACGCCCAATTCCTGCGAGACACAGCGGCTCGTGTCGAGCGGCTCGGCGGCGAGTGCCCGGAAGCTTGTTTTCTTCATGTTCTGCGGCTCCAAAGGAGGGTAAAGTAGATTATATCACGACATATCACACTGGCTTTGTTGGTTAGCGCCAGGTACATGTCGATGATTGTCATGCAGTGGTTATCTGATTTTTTGACGTTGGTTTGATTGCTTTGTTGAGCCAGTTGGGCAGTAAAGTATATCGTATATGTTTGATGCCCAGGACCAGTAGCAACTGAGTCTGGGCGTCATGCTGATGGTGAAAGTTTAATTCATGATGACTATGACGGCATATGACGGACACGGCCATGACGGGGCCCTTTTTGTTCAGTATGTTGAGTGTTGTGGTTCTGTGCATCTGGGCGTCCTGCTGATGCAAAGAATATCCCCCAAATTGTTTGACATGTAATATCATATACACATATCAGAAATATACCAAGCCCCTCTCCAAAATCACAAGGTATTCAGGGACCAATGAAGCGCTGGCCAACAAAGGGCTGACCAACAGATTCACATCGCTCTACAAGCTTCATTGGACGCAAAAAAGGCAACACATAAATAATCCCAGCTAAACAGCTCCAACAAGATCACCTTGTGTACTAACTTAAGACATAATACAGTAACTATAATACTCGGGGCTGAGAGAACCCTTCTGCTTGGCTGCAAAGGACTGAGAAACTTACGGACTTTTCAGCCCCAAGTCACAATTGTCGCAGCTCCAAACAGGTCTACATGATCAATTGTCAGTCGCCTCCCCTAAGACAAGCTAAAGGTAGACCCTCATGAAGACTCACCTTTTTTCACTTCTAAAAGTACCACGAAACAAGCCACAGATTCTCCAAGGCTATGGTCGTCGGTCCAAACGACCACCGCCACACCCACACCGCCACACGTCTCTAGGCCTGCACCTGCTCGGCCAATTCGCTACCGGTCCTTGGATCGGTCGACGCGCGCGGCGCTCGCGACCGTCGGTAGGTCTGGGTGGGGTGCACAGACCTCACGGATCGAGGTCTGAGCTTGGTTCTCTAGTCTTGGTGCCTTAAAGAGGGGAATGATTTGTTCATGGTACGACCAGCAGTTTTTTTGTTCGACCGCATTTCCAATACGGGGCAACCCAACCCGTTTCCTTGGTGCCACAGAAAAAGAAAAAATACGTAGACATGCTCAAAAAGTCTTTGATGTTTGATCTATGAGGAGACACATGTTGGCAGTCCATCCCCCAGACACGTCCATCCCAGGGAAACCAATTTCTGTTGGCAGGACAGGACGGATGAAACTGACAATCAAAGACTTGGCCGTCGTGGGTTCCAACGGTTGCAATTCAGCCGATCCGGAATCCTTAAGGCTTTTCGAGTGTTGTAGGATTCTTGCGTGGCATGATCATGATCAACTAGGAATTTAGACCAGCAGGTAAGTTTAGCCTAGAACCCTCCAAAAGCACCTCTTTGTTCCTAAGGTCAAATCGTCTGCACGACGTGGTCCGTTTCACAAAACCTAAATCGGAACAAAGGCTACAGACCCGGAGTCGACCCATTCGTACCTCGGAAAATGGGTAGTAGTACTATGGTAGTCTTGGACCTCCTGTCCATTTTCGGTACATTGGAGGTGTCCCATTTTCAGGTCGACGTTGCTGGATGTCGCTTCAGAAGCGCCGGAGGTTGAGAGGAAGGCAGGGCGACATCCAAGGGCGACACATCGAATCGCCCCGGGGGTTGTGAGGGCGCGTCATTCCTCCCTGCCGCAGACCAATGTCTTCCAGGTCTCAGAGACGTCTCAGAGACATCCGCGATGTGTTTCTTTAAATTTTGGTTTCATATTGCTGTTCATGTTCACATTGGCATATGTTCACGTGCATCCCAGAAACCCTTTCTCGCCAAAAAAACTCAGTCCGGTATACATGTAGTACTATAATATATATATTTTATATATATGATATACTATATATATGATATATAGTATTATATAGTTACTTTATATCCCTAGGAGATCCTAGGAGTATCCCTAGGATGTTTGTACCTCCTCATGATTCGATGGTCTTTCTTTACTTAGACCCACAAGACCACCTAAGCCAGTCTCATCCCCAGTCCCGAGCATCAAAGGGTATAGTTGGAGCCCCATTGTGGGTTTTCTGTACACCTGTTCATGACATCCATACATCCCTTAGACATCTTGCACGTTTGCCATCGTTTGTCCAGCGGCTTCTGGATGGCCCTCAGCTGCGCAGGTCCCGCCGTTCCAGTCTCAAGACGTTGCTTCAACCTGTGCGAGAAGGGTTTGGGCATGTTTGGGCAGCTGGGAAGCTGGAGGGAGGAAGTCTTGCTCTGGAAATCACAGCGAGTCATCACCACTTGGAGGACGAGAACAGCAAACGAAAGAACTGAATCTCAGGTGCTATGAGGATCTCAGGCTGCTATGTGCATAGACTCTGGGATAGAAAATGCACTCACCGCGAGATCAAGAAAACACTTCTCATAAGCCCAGCCATCCGCCAAGAAATGCCTCCTGTGCTGGGGCTTCCGACTTTCCAATGATCTCCACAACTTCATCTTCCTGGGTTGAAAGAAAAAACCATCGCAACAGTTCATCAGGAATGAAGACAGCCCCCGTGACAAAACCGGGTAGGGGGCACTACGGTACTGCCACAGATTCTATAGCTATAAAATGGTGGTAGCAAAGGGACATACATTGGTTACTGACACCCAGATATTACAGCCTTCTCTTCAACATTTGAGGATGAATTCTCTGTAGGGTAGTCGTGGGGGTTCAAACCTCCGCAATTGTCATGACGAGAGGTCCATGCACCGGGACCACGAGGTCATACGAGGTCTATGCAACTGTTATACCGATGCGGCCTCTTCACCACCTTAAGTCACTTGTTACTCGTCACGCTACTCGCAACACCCCCAGGGATGTCTGCCAGCTTCTATAGGACCTCTAATTAGGGAGTGGGAAAGGTCTATCCTCCACTCCCTCACTTGAGTCACCGCGCTCCCAGTGAGTCACCGGGTCCCGTCTTCCGCGCGGAACACGGAGGGAGGGAGCGCCGCGGTTCCGCTACCGTGGGCGTCGTCGAATTCCTTCGTCCTCTCCGAGGGACGCGGTCGCGGACCTCTTGAGCATCGTCCTGGGCGGCGGGCGGCGTCAGACGGACGACGGACGTGATGAAGGTTTTTGCGGGTGCCGCACCAGCAAGCATGATTGGGACAGGTCTTGCCAAAGGCAGCAAATCCCGTTGTTCCGGGCGAGTCTGGCATGTTCACCAGGTGGACCAGCTCACCAGTCTGGCAGATTCACCCTATGGACTGGTCTCTGGAGTCTGGACTCATGCGTTACGAAACAGGGACATATGTGCAACCCAGAGGCGACCCTGGACCCAAACCAACTGCTACATGTTGGTTCGGTCCAAAACCCTGGGCTGTGAGGGTGAAAACCCTAGCGAACTGAGGGTCCAATGAGCCTTTGCCATGGAAAACTCTGCAGGTGTTCATGGGTTCACTATATATAGGTCGCTAAGAATGTGTGCAGGTCTGTATCCAGGGTCAGACTGACTCGAGTGCTGACTGCAGAAAATGAAACACACATGCAAATGTTCGCGAGATGTTCATGGACAAGGGCTACAGAACATCACTGTTTCGGCTGTTTCCTGACCCCAAGCTCTCTGCCTCAAACATGACCACATGTCAATGTCCAATCTCTGTCCTCCTATGGCCAATTCATCCCTTTGCAATCGTTGACGTATCAAACAGTCCGCGCCCCGTCCATGCGAACGGTCCTTGAAGAGAGAATAAGAGAGGTGGAAATTATTCACAGATCTCAGATCTCTTATTATTCTCTCTTCTTTGTAGAATTATTCACCTCTCTTGTTCTTTTCCACCTCTCTTTGCGAATTATTTTCCTTACAGGGGATCCTTTTGCAAGCAACCAGGAAAAGAGGTCTTTTGTGCTTCACAGATCTGCACCCCCTCTTTTGCGTCTTCCCAGTTCATCGACTTCTTCATTAGGCATGGCCAGGCATCCACGGTGACATCCGCACCAAAGGAGACTTTGTCACTCGCCTCCTGTGGCGACGTGGCGAGCGGCGCCACGCCCAGCCACCCCACTCAACCTTGACTCTTAATCAGCTCCTTTTTATTAAGCTTTCATTCAGCTGCCTTGGCAATCCACAGCAGCCACCACCCCAAAGAGGTTCCTAATTGGAAGTTAAAACAAAAGTTCCTAATTGGCCTCAGGACTTCAACGACGAGCGGAGCCATTCCCAGCAGACTCTTCAGCCTAAAGTTCCATCCCTCATTCGACTGGTGTGGAAGGCAGAATTTTTGGGTGGCAGCATGGCATGGCCGTTTGAGTTGCAATGCAGTTGCTATAGCTTTCCCCCCCAGGACGGTGTCGACACCGCCATGAGACCGACATCCACTTCCATGTTCCCCAGAACTGAGATATCAAAGTATTTCAAGAGTTGGGCGGGTGGGGTCGGGGTAACAATGCTAATGGGTACTTTGTGAAGTATTTGCAGATATTTGCAGGATTTCTATCTAGTTCGGACTCAGTTGCCTGGTAGAACAAAAAAAGACGTCTAACATCATCTCAGTTCACACTTCGGACTCCTTACCTTTGAGTACTTCGAACCCCACCGCAAAAAACCATTGGGGCGCTTCTTCACACCACCACCGAGCCGTGTCCGCACGCACGTTCGTCGCGGAAGAGCCGCCCGTTCGTCGCCGCCACTGCCTTGCCCCGAAAACCCGGCACAGCGCCACTCGACGTCGAGCGGACCTTGGAGGTCTCGATGATCTCCTGACCATCCGACGAGTCTTCCACGACGGGGTAGTTCGGGGCGTCAGGTGCGTGCCGGGACGTGGGAGGCTGGTAGGCGCCCAATTCAAAGGGACACTCGATGCATTCAATGGCAAATGCCAGAATCCTCTGCGTGTATACTGATTTCTAAATATATTGATCAAGTGCACAGTGCACTGTCTATGAATATGAAGTTGATACAGCAGTCCCTAAATATATGAAACTAGAGAGACGCGCATTCCTTTCCACTCAAGAGAAGTTCTGAGTTCTCATAGCCCAAATTGCCAACAGCTAGCAGCAAACCTCCCCCACCACACAGGAGGAACTACCGATGGGCACCACTATCAGCCTATCAGCTCTATCATGCGCCCCAGTGCTCCAATTCAGGAGAACTCACACTCTGAGGTCCGAGGTGCTCGCCACTTGCTTCGGATTCGGCGCTCCACCGCTTACTCCGTGGACGAACGTCCACCGGTCGTGCCCACACCCGCCGCACCCGGAACCCCGCGTCGTCCCCGAACCCCGACCCCCAGGACGAAGGCTGACGCCGTGGCCTTCTTGATGCGTTCCAAGGTCTCCAGCGAAGGCCTCGCGCACACGAGGCGTCTGCGGCACCGCACCGCGGCGCACGGGTGGGAGCGGAGGGGCTGCCTCTGAGCTGTCCTGCTTTGCGTGTTCTTCGACCGTTCCAGTGCTGTTCTTCGAAGACGAAATAGCCTCTACCGTCTAAGCTAGCAGCTAGCGTGAGTTCAGAGCTGCAGACGAAGAAGGTGACCGTTTCGGTCCAAAAACAGTGACACTTTGGGATTCCGGGTCCATGCAATTCCTTGAAACCAAACATCTAACCAACGTGTTGAAGAAGGTGACCCTTACTATCTATACCGAGGAGGGAATTGAACCCGTTCACTGCCTGCTACTAGCACATTGGCAACTCAGGGTCGCATGTGAAGCTGCCCCGGAAAGACTCGAAAGACCAGCCAAGGTGTGCAAATGGTGGCAAGTCCTATAAAAAGCACTCGTAACCACCCATCAGCGCAACTGGATGGTCAAAGCAGCTTCCTTCACATGGACATGCAATGGACAACCCATTGATGTCGGCAAAGGTTGTTCATGGATGTTCTATTCATTGCGCACAGCTGCCTTCGCAACGGAGAGACGTTTGGCGCGAGTGTTCTCGCGATCCACATCTCGGAATCACAAAAGTCCACGTCGCGGTCCTTGGGCTATCGGTCCGAGAAAGAACAAATCTCCAGCAGTTCCATGTTGGGGTGCTTCACTTGGAGAATCCTAGGAGTGGTGTCAAATCCACGACCCCTCAAATGGTTATCTTAAGACCCCAACTCATGTCCGCTCAATGGCCCGGTTGGAGGTCACCTTTTAGGGGCTGTAGGGGCTGTAAAAGGTACAGACTTACTGTAAGGAGTCCAAAAAGCCTACAAACTTCAGAAGCTGGTGCTCGAAATCCTCCTTTCCAAAGCACTCTGACCCTTTCGAAAGACCAAACCGATCAGCACGCCAGCCTCACCTGTCACACGTCGCGACTCCACAGCCCAACACAACAGCGGCCTCACCAATTCATCGGGCATGGTCTCCATCCTAGGTGGTTTCGGTCATGCTACACTCCCTGATCGGAAGTGGACTACGCACGGACTACGTACCTGGGACTGGTGTTTGACCGGATTACTGATCATCCGAGGATGACTGGTCGGGTCCATGCCATCCACGTCACACGTCCATGATTTCAGGGAGTGTAGCACATGGAAGGCCTAGCATTTCACTTCTCCAGGAGGATGGAGGACATTCCAAGCTCAAAGACTCGTTCAGAGGGTCCTGAACCAACCTGGTGGGTCGTTCCTGAGGACCAGGAAACCGCTCCTCCTTAGGTCAGGTCGTCGTCCATGTTCCGCTGCTTCCCAAAAAAACGGAAGCAGCCCGTCTTCAGATGGTCCAGGAACTTGCTTTTCTTATCTTTTCAATTAAGTGTTTTGTTCAGCCAGGAGCTCTGAAAGACTAAAAAAAACATGGCCTTCAATCCCAAATGTCCGCGACTTTTTCTCCTCCCAAGGAACAGTGACCGGTTTCAACTGGAGATCTTCCAAACTATATGCAAAATGAGTCCTGCCCTTTCATCTATGAGAATCAACCAAGTGAGGCAGAAAGGTTTGCATCCTTAAGAATCCAGCTATGAGACTCCTAGCTCCGGCCTCGAGCTCCTAGCTCCGTCCTGAGCTCCCCCGACTGCGCACGGGTCTGCGAGATCACCGTGCCCAGTGTCACCTCGTGCGGCGCCATTTGAAGTCAGTCCCAAACAGTTGCTTTGGGAAGAGCCATCTGGCCTCCAACCTAAGAGCGATGGCCTCCAACCGATTTTGTTTGATGAGAACACCTGGGACCTTGTTTGAGCTGCCAGGATCCCATCACCCAGTCCAGTGAGCCAACCGAAACTCGGGACGTGCGCGCGGGGGCGCGGTCAGCCCGGCCACGGCGGCGGCGCCAAGCGACCACAGGACCTGGACCTGAACCAAAACTGTTGCACCTCTTGGACTCCAAGTTTTACTGTATATAACTACTTGTATAACTATCACGTGATATATAATGCATGATATCATGTGTACATTGGAGGCCACCAAAACCAATTAGTCTTCACCTTCTTAGCCCTGATGACCCTGCTTTGGCGGTTGAAGACCTGATGGAGCAGTTCTTGCTGTTTGCCGTTGTGAGGGTTTGGATATTCCCCGGCACCCGGCGCAGTAGTGGTGGTAGATTCACATCTGCTTGAGTTGAATTCTGGTGACTTCTCCCAATATAAAGCACAAAAGTACCGACTTCTTGTTCAGTGGCCTCTCCTTCATCTACTTAAATCTGTAGTTCCTCCCGGTTAATCTTGATCCACAACTCATCGCTTTCAACTTTTTTGCCAACCCAAACAGCTTCCAAAGTCGTTCGCTCGGCTCCGCTGTTCCTCCAAGCCGCCGCGGACTCGGCCAAGAGCCCTGGGCGGCCTGAAGAGAAGGCTCGCCTTCCCACTTGGTGTAGGAAGAGAATGAGCAGAGCGGTGGAAAAAAGGAAGAGGAGACCCTAGGGACCCACATACGGAACCTCAGGTTCGGTACGACTGGCCCCTCCTGGCGCCTATACATCAATAGTCTCCCTTGGATGTCCCTGCTCACCGTACCTGAGAAGGTACAACTGGATTCTTAGGGAGAGAGGCGCCAAATCCAGACGAACGGTATGGAACAGTGCTTGTGCTGTCATCAAACGGGATCAACCCTCCGGGATCGGGACAGAGAGAGCGGGCGCCGTCTAGAAACAGGCCGCAAAACGAATTGGAAAAAGCTGATGAACAAACATGGAGACCCCAAAAGCATGTGCGCACAGTGCGGCCGATCTCTTTTTCCATCGATCTCTGCCTCCATTCTTGATGCGTTTTTCAGTCAATGGAACGCCACTCTGGGAACTGTACGAACTGTACGAACTTTACTTCAAAGGCTTGGAGATGCAGCCTTCAGTAGAGTGAGAATTGGACTCGTTGTTGGGGTACAATAATAGCGGATCATGCTTATGGTTCATGCAGGTGTGTTCCTTATGTTCTATCCATTGGGGGTTGGAATAGGTTGGAGGTCTATTAAAAAGTTGGAGTTTGGAGTTGTAGAGTCGTAGAGGTCTATTTGGAGGCCATGTGTTTGTACAAATTCACGTCGCGTTTTTGTTCCCCTATCCTACACTTAGAGGGAAGGTCATGTCCCATCGGTCCCATGAAGCAAAATGCCAAGGGCGATCAACCTCTGGCATACCCTCTGGCTATTCCTGCAACATTGGTTGGCCTGGCTTCGGATGAACGTGGAACAAACATTTGTTGCCTCCAACCGGAGGAGGGGCCGCAAAAGCTACCAAGCGGCAAAAAGCTTGCATGGTGTCCAGCATCACCTTGAGCAACGTCAGTCAACTTGAATGGCAAACTTCTGAAACAGCTTTCATCTGAAACAGCTTTCCTGGTTGGTGTGTTCAACCCACTTGAAAAATATTAGTCAGAGTGTCCAATCATCCCCAAGTAACGGTTGAAAATCAAAATTTCCGAAACCATCACCTTGTTTCAGGTACAGACCTCTGCCAAAATATGTCATAGCTCTATATAAGCTGCCCCATGCAAGAGGATTTCTGGAGGACTTTCTTGTGGCTTTTTTCGGTCCGTTCTTTTGGCCCGGTGCAGAGCCCAAAACCGCGAAGTTTGACCCGACAGGTCAGGTCTTGACATGTCTTGACCTCAAGCAAGCTTGGAGTCCATACCCCAAAATCAACACAAAACACAAAACAAGCATGAGCTGTTCAGGACCAGAACCGTTTGGCCTTGGGGAATAGACCGGCCGGTCGGTGGAGCCACAGATCTGTCTTTCGCTTCTGACGGACTCCGGAGGGTTTTCGGACTGGTCGACTGGAGCCGTGAGGACTGGGCTCCTAAGGCCGGAAGAGACCCTGTGGGAGCTGTAGAGTCGCTAGAGGGTGCACAATGGGCCATGGGTCTTCCCCATTCTCTTGATGGATCCGAAGAAAAATCCGCCATGATGTTCCATCTGCTCGTTAACTGAGGCATGAGGCATCTAGATTTGATCGATCGATGGATTTGCCCGGTTCTTTCAGCCTGTGACCGCTCTGTCATGCCTTCGCAGGCCCACCAGCAAGCCCATGCGGAATCCTTCCCTCAGAATTACAGCACCATTCACCACCTATAAATTCATCCTTAAGCAACCTCCCAGCATTCACACCCCGGCCCTTTCCCCCCAATCTGCCGCTCTGTCTTCGGCTTAGGCGTCCAGACTGCGCCATCGGAACCATCTGCCTTGACCATGTAGTGTGGGCCTTAGGGCACCGTCGGGCCAGGGCGGCCTGATCTGTGTGAATCCAAACCCCAACGCTCCATGAAACTGCAGGATCTGGCCTTCTCACCACCCAAAACCACCAGTCAATGCAGCGGCCATAAATGGGCAGTCTCATGGGTGGCATCTGGAAACAAATTTGGATGAAAGTCGGTCTATCAGTTCCAAGAGATCACCTCACTTCCATCCAGAGATTCGGATGGACCATCCTAATTAGGGGACACCCCCTCGGCCACCCCGACATGAAACTCCTGGTCATAGGAGGCCAACCAATTAAAAGGTGTGGGCAGATGCGGCATGTTCATTCAACTTCCGTCCATGCGGCTGTGTTTTGGAAACAAGTTCGGTTCGCCCTGTAAACCCTACCCTATGAACTCGGATGATTCTGAGGTGTCACCGCATTGGGGGGCCTTTTTTGGTTCAGGCCACGAGCTTGCATGTCACCACGGCGACGGCAGTGGGGAGTCCATCTGTTCCATCCCACCAATATAAGAGCAAAGAACAGCTGCGGGGTTTTTTCTGCCGGATCTGACAGCAGGATTTGCACTCCTTCCAAGGACCTTGGTGACCTCTTGTTGAGGGGGAGTTGAGCACGTGCGTCTGCAATCCACCCAGTGGCACGTCGTCTGCATCGCCGCCATCCTCGGCGCGACTTCGCACCGCTGCAGTGCTTCGGGTGGCGCGTCGATGCGGACCATCGGTCCATCGGTCGTCCACCCGGCGGTCGGATCGGTGGTCTATATCCAACGACACCTTCTCGATGGGTCCAGACACTGACGCCTTGTTGATCATGTGTTTGATGTTCCTTCTTCCCTATAGTACACAAAAGGTGTAAGCGCCATAGCTTGGAGACCAAGAAGCCACAAACTTGCCAATGGCTGAAGAAACTTCTGACGTGGGCATCACACCGTTCGTCGTGTCGAAGAGAAACCCCTCAGTCTGTGAAAGGGAAGAACGTCAGTCGAATTGGCGTTTGCACAGCGAAAGAAAACCTCATGTGGCTGCAAGGTGTTCTGGATGTGATGTACAAACAAATTGACACAACTCAAGGAGCTACTGATGTCTTGTACATTCCCTACAAGTCAATGACCCCAGTTTACTGGAGTTGGTCAGGCAAAAACACTGCTCAAGTAGGTAAAAGACCTGGCTTTACATGGTTTTACTGGGTCTTTGGACTTGTAGGGAGTGATTGTAAGGTGTGCCCCTCACCCGACCTACTCAATTGACTGGTTCCCAGACCCCTCACCAACCGCGCCCAGGAACAGCTGCTGCAGCGCAGGAGGCATCCCTGTGGGGCGGCCGCTCCTGAACAAAAGACCATCAAAACCCAGCGCTGGGTCTGCAGCGCTTCCAGTTTCGGGGTGTTCAATCTGGAAATCCATTTCCAGACTTAAAAGGTAATATCAGAAAGGAAAATCCCGGAAGGGAAGGCAGCTGGTATATCTGGTATAAGGTTTCTTTTGCAAACTAAGGAGATGCCACAGACATCCACAGACCACTTCCTATAACAGGTCTTATAGATGGTCTCAGGGTGTCTCAGGGTCTCTTTGTTTGAATCATATCTCACCTTAAATGACTCTGGAAAACATGGGGAAAAGAGATCACTGTGTGTCAAATCCTGTTCCTAAGGACCCCTGATATCATCGGATATCATTTGATATAGCTCCGATATAGCTCTTGCGAGCATGGATCGAAGTGTGCGTTTTTGGACCTACTTTCTTCCAGCCTCGCCTCACCCTGTCTCTCACCCTGTGCCTCACTCCTCCGTCCGCGCGCCCCATCAGCCGAACCGAACGCTGGAGGTCCGGCTCAGCTCCGAAACCCGCGCGCCGGTGGGCGTCTGGAAGTCTGGAACCCGGACCACTTACCCAGACACTCCATAAGACTGCCATTACATTGACCCCCCAAGCCAGCCCAATGTAGGCATGTATGGCAAGTCCCATGGAGTGTCTGGGTTGGGTGTGTTCTCTCTTCAACGAAATGGTCCCGAGGACGCTTGAAACACGCGGGTCACGCCGTGGCCACCATCTCTCCTCGAAGTGGCCACCACATGATCCTGGTGATGCGCCGCGAGGGGTGATAGTTTTCAGAAGGCGGGCCGGTTGCTTCATTCAAAAGAGTTCACACCCCCAAACGAATGCTATAGTATACTCATGCAGACGATCCCTGTAAGCAAATATCGCCTACATTTGATGGTTTTTGGTGGTGAATGTAGCCCATATTTACTTATTTCGATCCTCTAGAGATAGGCATTGCTACATATAGGCTTTTCCGATCCAGAAACGGACCAACGATGACCAACGGATTTGAACGGACCGGAACGGACTGGAGATTGACTACAACGGTTGTAGGGTTTCCGACCCCCATGGCATGCCATGGCATGCCGGAACTTCTTTGGGAAAGAGAACAGGGTCAACAAGTCACCAACTACCTTCCTCTGATCAACTTTGCCACTGATTATATAGGTAAACCAAAAGCAAACATCTGAACATCTCATGAACCACTGAACCATTCATACCATTCACCATCCTTCACCCGTTTCCCGAAAGAACCCCCGCCCAAACCGCCGAACCGTTGAGTCCACACGCCCTTCTTGGCCGCACTGCCGCACCGAAAACGCCGCTCCCAACGCCCAAGACGCCGTTCGCACCGTTCGCACCGGCCTTGCCCGCAATGGCCAGCTCGTTGGCCGCGAGCATTCCCAGGCCTCCAAGGCCTCCGTTCGGCACCGGTGGGACCGGTCGTTTCGGGTTTGACCAGTCGCGCGGTCGATTCTCCCAAGAGGAGAACGGAGAACGCACCTATTCAATGAATTCGCATCGCATCGCATCTGATGGTGCAGTTCGTATTATGAGCTTAATTTATGATGTTTTATGAGTTTTTATGACAGTGTTCATCTGAAAAAAAAAACGGGTCTTTCGAAACCAACGCAGCCGCGTGTCGGCTGCACGTTGGCCCACCGAGATCTCGACGCGCTTTTTGTTGGGCATCACGAGGCGTCTCAACCAGCTCGCGCAGCAATTGTGCGACGTCAGTTGCGGTCGGGGTGCAAATGGTCCCGTCGCTCGCTCCGTGTCGCTTCCCGAATTCGCTGTCGCTCCGTCCGCGGACACCGCGGACACCGCGTCCGTTCTGGCCGGTCGTCGGCAGGTGCTGGCAGGCGAGAACCACGGTCCGCCACGGTCCGCCGCTGGGGACCTCGCCTCCGGTGATCAGCGCCATAGATCCGAAGCCCCCTGGGCTGGGCGTCGCGTCGCCCGACTGGGACCGACGACGACGTGGGACCGAACCGGTACGGTGGAGCAGGGAGACTGTTAGGCTTGGAAGGGCCAGTGGTACCTGGTATGTGGAGGCCTTTTAAGTGTATCTTAATCGGGAGACACCCAACCTACGGGTTTTGGGAAGATGTTCCTTCTTCCAGGGGGGTCGAACTGGGAGGTCTCCCTGTTATACACACCCATGTGTCGTGGGTGTTGTTTCTAGTTCGGCTCGTCAGCAAGACGAGCCAGAGACAGTTCGCGGAAGCAAGAAGATTAACGTAAGAACGTGTCAAAATCCTTCAAATCCTTTTACTTGGGAAAACACCTCAGATCAGTAAAATCAGATTTGTCTAAGTCTATTTCTCCTCAGGCCCACTTAAAATCCTGTTAGGACTCACACCCAGAACACCTCCCAGAACAGCGCTCCATTTCAGAGGTCCGTTGCAGAGATCGCTGCAAAACCGGGAGGGTCTTGAGAAGGTCTGGGTCAGCTGACGTGCACAGAGATTAGGTGCTTCTCGTCAGACATGGGCTCTATCCTGTTCCACCCCGTGAACACCGTCGAATGGTCACAATAAGGTGCTTCGACCGGAGAAAGAGGCCGCGAGTTGGGCAACCGGTTGAGGCCGCGGTCTCCAGACGGCTCGACCTACAGTCACGCGAGTCCGGACCTGGTCTGTAGACCGGAAGAACACAAAAGTTCTGCAAAGCAGTGGAAATGGTTCAACTTCTGTATGATTAATACAGATGAATAGATGAATATAATATGAAGGACTGGAGGGGTGACTGGTGCACTTGCAAGAGGAAAAAACATAGTGAAAGACAGCTGATTTAAAGTGTTTAACCCCAAAAGACAACTGATTACTCCGCACTCCAACAATGTTGTTTGTTTTCTTTTTACACCGGGTATGTATACCTTCCCCCGGTTTTTTCCACGGACACTCGTGACCTCCACTTCCTCCGGGTCCACCCTCCAGCCTCAACCACGCTCCCGCAGACCGCACGCTCGGGAGCCCCCGGTGCTCGAGCCAAGAACAGTGGCGAGAGACGAGAGATTCGGCGGCCCAAAGGAATTTCCAAAAGGACGTGGGTCCAAATGGTCTGAGAATGAAAGTACATATGTGATGATATGTGTGTATGTAACATATGTGATGCATGCATGTAGGTTGAAAAAGACTGGAGAATGAGGGAGAGAGGGTCCTCTTCCTGAAAGCACCCTTTGGGGCAGCCGGGGCCTGGCATCATTGGGCGACGATTTTGTTTGCCACCTTCATTGGTTGCACTAGTCGGTTAAGCCATACACCAACAATCTGCACCCAATGTTTTGATCACATTGATCAGTCGGGAGATGCCAGTTCTTTGATGTTGCGAGTCCTGAAAGGTTGAAAACACATGATGTTATACACCACATAAGGAGTCGAGAAACAACATTAGCCCCTCTCCCAGTACAAAACTTCAAGGATCTTTAAGGTCGTTCTAAGACTTAGATCCTGAACTTAGGATAGCAAACTCCCCCCAAAAGTCACGGAACAAAGGACCTACCTGGAATCATAGTGGATGGCATGGATGGCATGGCCCCGTGGATTACCACTTTCCGCTAAACATATGTGCGATGAGAACTGTCAAACAAACACATGCGAAAAGCCTGGTGTGGAAAACGTCTGCATGCCTGCGCCTCAGGATGTAATTAGCAGTGATGTCACGTAGAGGACCCTATATAGACATCAACAAGAAACAGTTTCCTGAAATATATTTGTATAGTATACATGTTCTTTAGGGATTTCAGGAATCACTGGATACTTTCTGGAGCCTCTATAGATGATACTCAGGTAACCTTTCTTAATGGTCAATGTCCCATGTCAGTGACCCGACTTCTGAACGGAACCGGTCGACCGGTCCCGTTCGTTTGGGACGAGGGACCAACGCCACGACGCGCGGAACCCGATGTTTTGTGGTGGTTGGTGGCCAAAGCCTCATGCTTCTCTGAGCATGAATCAGTCAGCACGGTCACAGTTCCATCCAGCAGTTCCATGTCGGAATGGTTTTTTAATTCGTCCGATCCAGTGGGTGAATTGTGACAGGGGCAGCCTTATTCTATCCTCCAAGGAACTGCACCCCTTCATGGAACTGCAATGTTCCACTCGCGTACTTACCCCATCTCCACACCCTTCATCTCCCACACCCCACGCGTGTCTCCACAGTCTTCAGAGTCTTCACCCGGCCACGCTCGCCTCTCGCGCGCGTGTGGTCAGCCCAGAGAGGGTGAGCCGGGTCTGCTGGCGTTCCCGCAAGTCCGTCTGGCGGCTCCGGGGGACGGCGGTGGCAGCTCCGGGGGACGGAGATGGAACTCCACCACTGCACCTTGTTTTGGGTGAAGGTTAGGGTTCGTTATGGATTATTTGGCAGTGGAACGTATTCGTCTCACCGAAACGTGTCAAGAACCCATCAAGTTCGCCCAAATCTTAAACGCACTACTTGGCCGATCGGCCTGAGCCGATCGGGTCTTGCCAGTGTGGGCGGACTCGTCGATGGGACTCTTCTGGTGCGGCGACAACAGATCTGGAATCGTTACAAAAAAGTGGATGAGTCATATATGAAAATGAGTCATGAGCTTAAATGTTAAACACTATGATTATGATTATATAGAACTATTCCAGTCCCATGGATGGTCGGGGCTCTGCCTCTTTTTCTGCGACAGGACGGCGACTGAATGGTCGACCGGGCGCGACACCAGAGACGACACGAAGACGACACGACTTCGAAGCTGGAACGACATGTTTCTCCCCGTTTTGGGATAAGAAGTTTGACCCTTTCGGGTGGGTTTGGTGGTCCAATATATAGAGGTCATTCGGGTTTTTTGGGAATGAACTTTGGGTGCAATTGAGGACCACAAGGGGACATATTCGAACTGAGTGCGATTCAATGTCAGCAACTGCACCAAGCTCAGTTCCCCAAGTTAAGCCCCTCAGTCAGTCCCTTGGATCCCTTGGTCTAGTTTTCGACCACTAAACTTTGGAGACCAACCCCTTGGGCCCAAGCATCGCCGCTTTTGATACCTCGTAAATGGACAGAAACGTGACAACCCTCTGATGTCGCTCTGAAACCTTCCATTCTCACGAGGCCCTAGGCAGGCACCTCCAACTCCGAATGCTCACCGAACCCCCAAACGAACAATGCCCTGAGCCTTCGGACCCCCCAAAAGACCACGGCCCTCGGCCCGCCATGTCGAAGGCCCGGTGCGTCCGGTCCGCCTCACTGTCAGGGACCACGTCCCGAAGCTCCCAGAGCGCGGCCCAACGCACCTGCGGCCGGAGGGAATTCAGCGCGGAGGTCGTCCCCCAGCGTCCCGGTGAACAGGATGAGTTTCTTCATTTAGGTCGGTTTTTTTCGCCCGAAAAAAACCCACCAATGGGTGGGAGAAAAGTCATCGAATACCGTTGTCCAACATGTTCCTCCGATGTTCATATTTGCCAGAAAACATGTCCATACCCAAACGCTGATGGCACTTATGGATACTCATGCCGCATTGAAGTTGGTTAAAGGAGTCAATCATGCGGGCATATGCATCGTTCTTTCTCCAATTCACGCCTCTCGCCACGGCGAGCAGCCCCCAAAACCGATCGATGTACATCGGGGACATGGGACAATCGAATTTCTGAGAAGTGACGACAGATTGAACGCCTATCTCTGTCAGGTTGCTTTGGCAACACATTCTCCAAAACTGATGTGCAAGTCATTCTCCACTCATGTCTGGTTTCGGGTTTAGCCTACACTGTCCTTCAGGAACTTCACCTGCTCTTCAAGCCTACACTGAGACTGTCATTCCATGCCCATGCAGGTGGCATATGGGTTCGCTCCCCCAGTTTCACATCGCAAAGCCGCGTGAATCCGAGAGCGAAAGCGCCTCGGGGTCGCCTGGAAAGGGGAGTCTCAGATCTTCGTCATGGGCACCTGGAATAGCAGTTTGCTGCTGGAACAGCTGCTTGGGATGTTTTTGGTGTGGGACTCCCTGTGGGACTTCCCTAAAACTTGTCAATTTTCATGGTCACTGTAGAGTAATTAGGTTGTTTTTGTATCATGTTTGAAATATATGAAAAACAATCTCGCCACTTCGATGGCCAACTATGATGGGTTTGCGACGTTTCACTTACGTGGCGAAATGTCTAACATATTTTTCATGTATGGACGACAAAAATGTCCAAGTGTGACCGCCTACGCCATTATGCGCACGAAAAAACACTGGGAAATTTGTTCGTTCTTAACACATGGATAAATATCGCGCCATGTTATGCATGAAACAGTATGGACGGGGCATGTTCCCATCGCCTCTTGCATCTTAGTGGCCAATTGACATGAAAACCAAGTGACTTGAATCGTTGAGGTCATTGAAGGCAAAACCGGTCACTATATATAAATCTTGCAGACCCAAAAGCATCCTTCATTCTTGCTGCACAGGGTAACAAAAACCAAGAGCCCAAAAGCACCAACACTGAACCCAACACATTTGACACGTTGGTTGGTTGGTTGGTTGGTTGGTTGGTTGGTCAAGGACACGGGCTTCAGAGCAGTCTCACCTCTCCGTGGTTGGGCGCCCCAACGGGCCAAGCCCCAACTCCCACGAGCAACCTGGCGAGTTTGGCTGGATCTGGGGCTTTGAATCGGGGGGACAGACCGATATCTCGGAGGCTGTAAAGCACAAGCTGTCAAAAGCATGCTCAGAGTTTGGAATCTGTGGACGTGAACCGTGAATGACAACCCTTGGCAGGCTTGATCCTCGCTCCTGCTGGACACGCCTTGGCTCGCTTTGGGTCAAAACAGACAGCTTCACAAGGCACAAGGCCCTGCAATCGGCATGTCGTAGGTCTCTGGATTGCACGCAGCTCATGGGGATGTCATGAGCCTCCAAAGAGCCTCTTTCACGACGAAGTGAAGTATTAGCAGTAGTGGCATGTGTCATCTCGGCCGTGCGCAACTGGCCTTGGTTAGTTGGCACAAAGCTAGGAGCACCCTGGCCCGGTGTTCCTCAAGATTTCCAGATCTCAGAAATTGTTTGCTGGCTCTTCAACTTTCTCTTTTAGACTGAGAGCATATTATATATTGAAGAATTCTGGACAGTGTGGCACCAAAGCTCGAAGAGTTAGCAGAAGCAGAGACTTGGAATGCCTTGCTTCCCAAGAAGCCCTGTGCTTGGCAGACATGGCTTCTGAAAACCACCACCACCACCAGCACCACCGCCACCACAACAACAACAACCACCGTGGTGCCTTCGGGGTGTGATAGTTCCCACGAACTTTCTATTGAACACAAAAGAACAGTTTCTTGCATGTGCATATGAATGGTGGTCAAAATGTCTTTTCCCGAAAGCGGCTGTAAAAGTCATTCTTGTCTGGTTGGTGTTTTCAGCCCACTTGAAAATATCAGTCAGAGGGTCCAACTATCCCCAAGTAAGGGTTGAAAATAAAAATATCGAAACCATCACCCAGTTGCTCAATACATTTCAGAGAGGGTATCTGGGATGTGTGGAAATGTATGGAAATGTGAAGTATTTCAATCAGAGGTGCAGAATGTTGCAAACGTAGCTAGCGCGAAGGCCTTTGTTAACTCTTTGATGACCTTTTGTTGTCTAAGCTAGCCATGCTGTGAGGAATTTGATAGGAAAAGAGACGGGGGACACAAACTTTCCAAGTAGTATGGCGAAGATCTACTTCCAGGACAAATGGACATCTGATCACATTTGAGAACTGTGCTAGCGCAAACCTAGCTGGCGCGGATCTAGTGCACAAAACTCAGAACTTGTCCGGCTTGAGGTAACAGCAATACACATCACAGAGGTCATTTCTGTATTTTCCCCAGTATAGTATACTGTCTATACTACTACCCAAAAGCATGTCAGCACATAGCCTAATCTACGTCAGTTGCAGCATTCCCCCGCAAGATGCGCAGGAGTTCATGAACCAAACCAAATGAATCATGTTGATTCTATACGACAAGTAAAAAAAATCAACCGCGAACCCAGCGCCAATCTAGCGCTGCC